AAATCTTTCTTTAAATCTTTGATTTATGTACTATAAGAATGTTTGGGAGTTTCATGAGTTGAAACTTCCTTCTTCTTCTTTTTAAATGAGGAAACCCTAATTTTGTAAAAATCATAAGCTTAAGGAAGTTTAAGAAATAGTAGTATCAATGAAAAATATGAGTTGTGTGATAGTTGGGGCTTTTAATTGCATAAAATCTTTCAAAAAGAGAAACTCTAATTTTCCTTGTGAAAACCTAGATTTTGGAAATTGGGAGAAAAGTTGGGATTTCGTGAAATCAAGAATTGTTGAAATTTGTTTTTGAGAAATGATGAGAAAGTTGTTACGTTTACCTCTATTGTTGAAATCCCTTGTAAGAGAGAAATTGATATTGAGAAAATAGTGAATGACATGTTGTTATACTTATCTTGGAAAGAAGAAAATTGGGAATGATGATTTTTATGTTGAGAATTATTTGATTTAAAGGGACAAGAAATGTGTTTGATGATTGTTTTCATCTATCTCTTGGAATATATATTGTATACAAGTATATTGAGTAGATATGTGGAACTTGATCATAATGGAATATTGTGTGGATGAAATAAGAAGGTAAATTTTGAGAAAGTCCAAAGCATTAATATAGATATATGTTACATTGGCATTTCATTTCATGTTCATTGATTTCTTTTGCACTGGCATTATTGAGATCACTTTTAAACGAAAAATGGTTTTGTAGAACAAATATTGTTATTGAACTGTTTTGGGATAAATACGGTGGGAAATCCTGTTAAGGGGTGTAGTTTGAGAATTAAGTTGGCCTAAGTGTCCTTAGTGTAAGATTAAAAACAAGCGTATGTGGGTACCTAAGCCCTCTGGTTAGAAGCCAGTAAGGTAGGATTTGCTAGTGCTTGATACGCTTACTTGCAGACACTAGCCGTGGAGATTTGCCTAAGTCGTATTTACTACCCCTTGTTGATATATGGAAATCATTGGATTAATCATATTTTTGAACGAGCATTGTGCATAAGATTTTCAAAAGAAGAAAATTACTTTGAGCATGGCATAGCATGTGCATCCATATCATGAAACTGTATAAAATATATATATTTTGTTAAGAATTCTCTACTGGGCTTTATGCTCACCACTAGTGGATTTGTTGTAAGAAAAAATGTTGTGATCCTGCCAAAGTAGAGGCATAGAGAATTGTTTTGGGAGCACGAGACTCTTATCTGTTGTTGTTATTATGTTGATAAGCCAAGGGCTATATTTGTATGGGTTAGAAAGCCATTTATCGGTAACCAAGCTTAAGCCTCGGAACGTATAGCCCATGGGGGCATTATTTTGTGTTTCAATTTCTATCGAATTCTCATTACATGCTGCCAAATATTGACTTAGAAATTATGAAAGTATAATGGCTTGCGGAACCCTTACATCTCTTGAATCAATGTCATGAACATACATGTATGAGAAGCTTGATTGGAAATTATATGATTCTTTAATTGCAAAGGATTCATGATTAATGAGGATTGAGGATTATTGATGAGTTCTTCTGCGCTATCATACGTTATCAAATTGGGGGCGTCACAGTTGGAAGCTGAAGTTTCTATCCCATGCGGGTTGTTAGGTGCTTCTAAAATCTGTGACCCAGGCCATGCCTTCTTATGTCATGGCATGCTTCCTCTTGCCAAAACATTTATGTGCTTCTTTAAATTCTCTGTTGAGTAGATATATGGAAATCATTGGATTGATTATATTTTCAAACGAGCATTGTGCATAAGATTTTCAAAAGAAGAAAATTACTTTGAGCATGGCATAGCATGTGCATTCATGTCATGAATATACATGAATATACATCTCTTGAATCAATGTCATGAATATACATGTATGAGAAGCTTGATTGGAAATTATATGATTCTTTAATTGCAAAGGATTCATGATTAATGAGGATTGAGGATTATTGATGAGTTCTTCTGCGTTATCATACGTTATCAAATTGGGGGCGTCACAGTTGGAAGCTGAAGTTTCTATCCCATGCGGGTTGTGAGGTGCTTCTAAAATCTGTGACCCAGGCCATGCCTTCTTATGCCATGGCATGCTTCCTCTTGCCAAAACATTTATGTGCTTCTTTAAATTCTCTGTTGAGTAATTTCTGGTAGAAGGGGGACCCAGATAGTAAGAGTGTTCATTGGATTTCATGGGAACAAATGACCATGCCCAAGCTTAAATTTGGGATGGGTTTTTGTGACTTTAGAGCCTTTAACAAGGCCTTACTAGTTCACCAGGGATGGAGATTGATCAAGAACCCCAATTCATATTGTGCTAGATTCATGAAGAGTATTTACTACCCTAACACTAATTTCTTGAATGCTAGGAAAGGAGCACGAGCCTCTTGGGCTTGGTCCAGCCTAATGGGCGGGCAAGAGATTCTAAATCGAGGTACTCGTTGGCAAATCCACAAAGGAGCTTCAGTAAATTTCTGGGATGATAGGTGGGTGGCCAATATGAAGGATTTTCGGGTTAAATCCGAAAAGCCTTATGGGTGTTCTCTTGTGAAAGTCAGTGATGCCCTTAATCCAATATCTAAAGCCTAGGATGTAAATTTTCTGCAACAGTTGGTGTCTAAGGAGGAAGTGGCTGGAATTTGCACAATGTCGACTTCGGTGGAAAACAAGGAGGATGAATTGATCTGGCATTTTGATGCTAAGGGAACTTACTCTATTAAATCGGGATATGGTGTAGAAGTTGAAAATCAACAGCAAGGGGTGAGGGAGAGGCCTTCCACTTCTTTTCAAATCCCTGATTTTGTATGGAAGTTCATATAGGCATTACCAGTTCCTCCTAAAATAAGGCATTTCTGTTGAAGGGCATACAACAGCTCCTTGGCGTCCAAGTACAATCTCTTTAGGCGTAAATGCTCCTCTAATGCCACTTGCCCAATTTGCCTAAGAGAACCTGAGACTATTGAGCATATTCTTTGTGGGTGTGAGTGGACAAGGGGTGTGTGGTTCAGGAGAAGCTAATGGGGCTGCACACTGGGTGGTTGGAGAATTCCTCAAGGGTAGTTTACCCAATTATTGGGTTTGTAACCCCCCGTAGGCTCTGGAAAGAGCTTTGAGTATTAACTTGTAATTGACTTTTCTGTGTTCAAAATATGGCCTCGTTTGGGAAGTGGCTATTTTAGAGATTTTTTGGCTTTTTGACTATTTTAGTAGGCTATTTTAGTTTTTGTGTTTGGGAAGATGAGATGGATTTTTGTTTGAGTTGTTGTATTGAAAAATGTGTTGAAATGATGTTTGAAGTTAAAATGACAAATTTGTCCCTAAGATTATAATTTTTTAAATTTATATAAAGGGGTGAAATTGTAATTTTCCAATTGATTTTACAATCTGTCAACTGACAGTGTAGGCGTCCCGAGCTGCAGTCTTTTTTTTTTTGAATTTTGAATTTTGCACCTCCACCAACTGTTCACGCTTTTTGGCTTATATGCTAAATGAGGCTATAATAGCCTTAACCTGTGTTTCCCAAACAGCGCTTATATATAATTGTCACATCCAATAACTATTTATTGATTTTTCTTATTCATCAAAACACTCAAAATTGGAAAATAATTTTCCATATTCATCAAATAGCCCAAAAATTTAAAATAATCATGACTTTCATCTTGGAGATTGAGGTTGAATTCATGATTTTATGATTTTAGAAATCTTCTTGGCATTGAAGAAGTTTGCTTAAAAACACTCGATGCTATTTACTGCATTCTAGAATTGTCATCATTATTTGAACCAGCAAATCTGTTATAGATGCACAACATTGTTTATTCAAACCTAATTGATTATATGATATATAAAATAGATGAAGCACCTAATATAGAAGGGCATTTGGTCTAGTGGCATGATTCTTGCTTAGGGTGCAAGAGGTCCCGAGTTCAATTCTCGGAATGCCCCTCTTTTGATGAAGTTTTTTCTTTTTCTTTCTTTTTTGGTTGGTCCTTGTCGGTGATAGTGAAAAATCTATAAAAACTGCAAAATGATCTTTTTTTAGCTAGAGTATTGAGAAAGGAAAGAAAAGGACACCCAAAATTTTTTTTTGGATTGTCTAACAATCTCTTTAGTTGCAGCCCAACATAGAGCAAAATTGCATGTTTCCATCATTAAGACACCAGGAATCAAGAAATGCAAGGGTGCTCTGCTCATAACCAATAGACATCAGAGATGCAAGCAGAGTTGTGAATGTGTTACTATAGATATAGTTGTGTTATGAAAATCAACCAATTGAATGTAAAATAAAATAAGGGTAAATTATAAATACACCTTTTGAGGTTTATTTAAAATACGAATTGCCCTCGTGTAGTTTGAAAAATTACAAATATCTCATTATCAGAATTTTTTATTTAACAGAATTAATTAAAAAAGTAAAATTTCTAACTGTTTACCTCTACAATAATAAAATTATTTGAATTATTAATTGAAATAAAATTTAACATTATTAAAAACTATTAATTAACTTGATGATTTTATTAATAAGATAATCTATTTGCTATGAAATTAGAAACCTTAGGAGGCATAATGTAATTTTTAGAATTACAGGGGATAATTTATAATTTAAATAAATCTCAGAAGGTTTTTGTAATTTATCCATTAAATAAATAAATAAATTGAAATGGCTATCAAAATTTGAAACTCAAAATCAAAATATGAGATAGTTATACTGGGATAATTTGGAAATGAGTGTAAATAGTTCACACTAACAGAGTTGTGTTTATATAATAATAATATTAATATTAGTATAGATAACGAGGAACCCTTGATCCCACTTTTGGTGAGACCCAGGATAAAACTCCAAATATGACCATACACTAACCTTATAAATAGAGAAGTAGGAATTCAAATTTAAGAGCTCTGATTGTTTACCTGCGGACTTACCCTTTCAAGCTAGCCCTCATAGATGCAAGCTCTCTCACATTGGGACTAAAATAATATCTAACCTTATTGATTGCCACAGTTCAACTATACAGAAGAAAATTGAACAATCAAGTGTCTATTTCTATTTAGTTGTAGCTCCATAGAATACATACATATGGAAATACAGTTCTACTGTCAAAATAAAACAACAGCACACAACTAGCAAGATATCAGAAGATCAAACGAAAAAATGCTCAATTCCTACAAAGATATGATCACAATCAGTAAAAACCAAGAAGGTTTTTTATGATGCTTTTGCTTTTTTGTTTTTCGAATACATGTTTCTCTTTCCTTCTCTCCTCAATACCAAGCAACAGAATCTCAACGATCAATCTGTCGGAACCTGTCCCCATTTTGGGGAGCTGGAGGCTTTTTATGACACTCTGAACCGTCCGTGCTCTGAGATGCAGGCACTTGAGCATGTTTGTTTGGAACTAAACCTAACCCTTCTGTTGGATTCCCACAATTTTTCACTTTCGCATCGCCCCCAAGATAATTTGTTAAGGCTCTTTTCACCCCAAAGCCACGACGTGGAGGCTTGTTGTTGTTGTTGTTGCCACTAAGAAATGGAGTTATCTCTCCCCTTGCAGGGCTAATCAACGGTGCAGGTGAAAACTTTGGTGTTGTAAAAGCTGTTCTGTATGGAGTGCCTGAGCCGGGCACTGAATGTGAGACTGAAACTCTCTTTTGAGCAATCACGCTAACAGTAGGAACAGACCCCAGCTTATCAGAATGTCTAGTCAGGTCATCGACATATAGTAGATCATCAATACGTGCCACAATATTAAATGCCAGGCTTTCCAAAACCCTCGAGTAGCTCTCTAGGACGGATTTTCCAATATCCTGAAAGTTGGAAAAGTAAATAAGATTGAAGCAAATCAATACCTTAACTAAGCTGAAAAAACAAGCTGATTATTGAGAAGTTTCACCAAACATTTCTAGCACAAATTTCCAAAAAAAAATTATATATAAAAAAGACAAAAATAAATACTAGGCAATAAGCAGGACACCAGAAGAACTAGAATTTTCATCAGATGGTAGTGCGAACCTTGTTGTATTGTATCTTGCTCGTATCCAAGGTAGTCTGGGTTAGACCAGGGAACCGTTGTTTCAAGCAAATCAGGAGGCTTTCAGCTCTTTCTGCAAGCAATACCAGCTTGTCTCCATCGATCATTAGATCCTTGACCATCTCCCAAGATGATTTTGCCGCAGAGCGGTTTGCATTAGTCACGGGTTTTGAGTGAATTCGTCTACGCCACACATAAATTGATGCCTCCACACGGTTTGCAATCTCCAGAGCAACATGTTCAGAGGACAGGTCAAGGCAATCAAGCAAGCACTCTGATGAGAATTGATCTGATGTGATGTACCGGTAAATAACATCACCCAAACTAGCTCGCCCATTCTAAAATGAACAGAGGAAAGAAAAGGTCAACGTAAGATCTCCCTAGCATATGGAAATAAATAAATAAATAACACGCTTTGGCATCGTGGATAAAGGATAACACTCTGGTACAACTTTGGCTAATTTTGACAAAATCTAGCTTTCAATGAATAATTTTGGTGCTAGATTGGATTCAAACCTTTGGAAGAGCTTCCAAGTATGATTCAGGAACTTCCATTTCAGCTAAAGCAATGCTGTTGATAGCCATGGCAGCTTTTAGTATTTGATTTGCGCATTCACGCTTGTGATGCAACTGCTTCCTCGTATCTTCATGGAGACCTCCAGGAGGGATGCGAGGCACTGGCAGCCACCATTTCTCCTCTTGCCGTTGAACGGGCTTACGAAAAGAGGCCGAACCATCGGCTTCTGGGGCTATAATCCCTTGATCAACGTACCAAAACTCGGTATTGATAAAACTATCTAGTATCTCCTGTGATAGGAAAACATTGGCTTTTAACTTCAAATCGCTTTATGAAATAGAGTAGTGGACGAAGAGAAAAGTGAGGTCAAATCTTACAATGAGCATGTTGTCTAGTTTACGGAGAGCTGGGAGGTTGATGAGAAGATCCGCCCGTGGTCTGCAAGTCATAACCTGAGTAACAAATGCAAAACCAGTCATGAAACAAGAAATTGTGATATAATCACCAAAGAACTGACTTAATTTTCTTTATTTCCTCATTGGGTTTTGCACATTTTTGCTTCACTGATCATCCCAAGATCTTTCAATAAATATAACCTTCCAGCATTAGCACAATTTTCTAATAAAGGGGAAAGGCTAAATTTGGATGTAAATTTCACAATAGAACTTTTCAACTGAAAATTGATCTAAAATAAATTAGATGCCTTTACTTCACGCTATTCTAAGAAATTAATACAAATTGTACCCAAAAAAAAAAAAAAAAAAACACATCTTAGTTTATAATGTTTACTACTAATTGAATGTAAAACTAAGATTGCTAAATTGCAGTTACCTCAAGCTTACTTCCATCAGGAAATGTTTGCCAAGAAGGTATTAACTCAACGATGTGATCGGTAACACAAAGAAGCCATTCCATCTCTCTTCGCCACATCAATTTCTTTTCAGAAGGCAATGGTTCCAACCTCCAGAGTTGCCCAAATACAGTAGCTACAATTAGGGTTTAATGTAATGATTAAACTTGAGCGGAGAACCAAAATATAAAGAAGTTACAGAGGAAAACCAATCTCATTGTCAGTACAAAGCAATTCCACTAGAACTCATAATGTAGAGAGAGAGAGAGAGAGTACCACAGAGGTTGGTTATGGCATTTGAAATCACTAATGCGGTGCAAACCCCTTTACCACTCCCTGACATGTCTTCACCAAGCAACAACTTTGCAAACCTCTCCTTCATCATGTCAACTTCTATGCAATTCAAATTCAAAAACAAAAAGACAAATTAACAAAACAAGAAACTGCCCAATTCAACAACTTGAATTTTTTTCCCCCGATATGCGTAAATGTATATAGGTGTATATGTCTGTTTTCTGATTTAGTAAAGCTAAGCCCATTTTACTTTGTAGAATTTGAATTTTTCTTTCCAGATAACAAAACGACAGGAAGCGTTAAACCTGTACATATCATTATTTTCTCGGCAACCAAACAGAGTTTTAGAAGCAGAAACACCCATCACTAACCTGAAATTTTCGAACCCAATTTCTTCACCTTCGAATCATCCAAATGGGATTTAGGTTCAACCTCAGATGCATCAGAAATCGAGCAATTTGACACATGGGCTTTGCGAATTGGCCAACCCAATGGAGCCGGCGAAGAACACTCCTTACCTTTCGCTTCGTCCGTCGAAGCATCAGAGCTAGATCTCCTCGAACATGTGGTGGAATCGGTGAGAGATTCAGTTGCACCGCCGTTAGATTCAAACCCATCTTTTCCTTCACTAGTCTTCTCAGCTAAATCTTCCATACTTGGCTACTTTCCGAGAAAATAAATGGAGGTCTGCGAGAAATTTTGTTTAAACTTGAGTAGTATCAGCTACATTGAGGATTCTAAGTGCAAAAAAACATGTCTGGTGTGGAGAGAGAGTGAGAAATTTGAAGGATTTGTAAGGTGCCATGATTACTAGACGTTGCTCTAACACATGATCTTCTGAGAAAGAAGGGTGGCCTCACTTGACTCTCTCTCTCTTTCTCTCTCTCTCTCTCTCTCTCTCTATAAATTTGATTTCAAGGTTGCCAATTGTCGAATCCAACGTCTCTCTCCGTCTCTCTCTGAAAATATTCAAATTTCTCGAAATAAAGTGCCCGATTCAAAAAATAGTAATCTAGGCCGTAGGAGGGATGGATTTGTCAATGCAAGTGAAGTTACACTTTTACCCCCAAACAAAGCCTTGGATTTTTTTAAATTGTGCTTCACTTTATTATTATTTTATGAGCAGGACTAGAAATTCACATTTTAAATTTATAAATTTATCTATAATGATATAATAAAAAAGATGGATTATATATCATTGAGTATGTAATTAATCAAAAATTAATATTTAGGAAATGGCTTCCCTCTAGTCCTTCATTGGACTGTAGGATACTATTAGACCCGTGGGAGACTGTCACGAGTTCCGTTTCGATAATATGAACCGTTCAATATGTAGAAATCGTCGAATAATATATAAATGTAAAAAATCACGTTGATCGGATATCAATAGCTATGTAATCAAATTAGATTTTTGTCAGTCGTTTATTTTCCACCGTCCATTTTTTTTCATACAAAACTGAGTTAATCACATAGCTATCAAAATTCGATCAATGCGATTTTTTACAAGCATATAATACTCGATGAGTTTTACATGTTCAACAGTTTGAATTATCAAAACGGGACCAATGGTGGACCTCCCGCGAGCCCAACAGTACCCTCAAGTCTGATGACGGACTGGAGGGAAGCCATTCTCTAATATTTATTATGTGAGTGAAATTATGAGAAAATTTTCAAAGTCTCAAACATTATTCTTATTTTATATCTTATAAATGCAATTTTGATAGTCATAGGCTGTGTTTAGAAGGATTTTCAAATTATAATTCTACCCACAAATTCTAATATCATGTTTGGATAGGGTTTTCAAACTATATTTTCACAATAAACATAAAACTCCGTAGAAAACTCTGTGTCAGGCGAGATTTTCAATTTTTTTTTTTTTTGAAATTTGACCTAACCGGTCGTCCCACCGGTGGTTCGGCCGGTATATTGCACTTGACACATGATAATTTTTATATATTCAAAAAAAATATTTTCTGAATTTAAAAAAAAATTATGAGTTTTAATAAAATTTTAAGTTGTGTGTTTAGTTATAAGTTATAAGTTTTTATATCAAACATCATATGTCACATCAAAATTTTTTTACTCTTTTCAAAACTCATTTACCAAACAAATTTTTCACACTCAAATCATAATTCCAAAACTCACAAATTCAAAATACAACACTTATTCTCAAATAAAAAGCTCTACCAAATGCTACTAAATGGTAGTGGGGTTGTTTGGGAATAGATTATTTTAATAATTTTTTAACTATTTTATGAAAAGATATATAGAAAATTATTGAGATGGTGTGATCTAAAAAAGATTTTTAAAAACAAATACATACGTTATTTTAGGTTAACACAAACAACTAAAATTATTTTTAGACTTGTGTTGGGTACACAAAAAATAAGTAACTTACTGATTTATTACATTACATTTTTACTTTTATACACGTCTTTTTATAATAAATAAAAAAATTCAAAAAATAAACCGTATACGGTTAATTTTAACAAAGAAAAAATAATTACATTATTTTAGTTCAACATCTACATATGAATTCAAAACCTCATATTTATGGCTGATTTAGAATGTGACTATTTTAGTTGATTTTTTAATTTTTTATAAAAATATATGAAAAAATATGGAGAGTGATGTGATTGGATAACACTTTCTCATATCCCAAACACCACCTTATATATAAATATTTTTTAGAGCAATGTGAATAAATTAGGTGGATTTGAATGGATTGATTTATACTTTTGTTACAAACATACCACAAATTGAGGCAAAATCAAATAATAATAATAATAAAATAGAGTTAATTGAAATTAGATTGATCAATTTTAAATTGAAGACGAAGTATGAAGATTACATAATTTATAAATATAATTAGAACTACATTAAATTAACATTTTAACTACATGTAGTTACAAACACAATAATCATGATAACCACAATTTCATCCACCACACAAAATTTCCCATCATCGAAATCTTTAGTCAAGTCGTTTCAAAACACTCAATATTATTTGATTATATCTCAAAATTCAATGACAATAAAGTGTTATTATGAGATAGAGAGATGCAAAGGTTTAAACACACATAATCCTTACTCTTTCACTGCATCACATGAATATCAATGTACAAAGTTGTAATTTGCAGTTAAAATTGTCATTTTATTTGTAGACAAAGAATACAAGTGGAAGAATTAAAGGATTTAGATTATAATTCATTGATTTAAACAAATTGGGCACCACCATATAGCCGTTTTTAGGGTCATATATAGACCCATAAAAATTTCAGTAGTGGACTAATGACTAGCCTCTAATCATCTGTTTTGGATTGTTGTCCCTTAAAATAAGGCCTTTGAGCCATTGATCAAGGTTCAAGATGAGTAGAGATTAATATCTTAATGTATGCATGAAGCATCCCTAGGACACCTTGAGAATGAACATTTCAAGTTGAATGAAATAAATATACGTTAAGTAGACAATTACATAATGTAACTAAGATATTAATTAAGGCTAACATTGTGATCATTGTTTTAACTTCAAGAATGTTTGTCTAATCGGTTGTACAATTTTTATTTTTTATTTTTGAGAATTTTGTTAACAACTGCCTTAACTGCATTGATTAACAAAACTTGAAAGGGTCAAACATTTTTTACAGCATGCACCTTTATAAAAAAATATATGACAATTTTAAGTTTAGCTCTCGTTTGAGATGAGTTAATTTAGGCATTGTTTGGGAACTTGGTTTGGGGCTAAAATAGCCACAAAAAACAAAATAGGCTATTTTAGCCACAAAAAACAAAACATCAAATCCAACCCATAATCATTACAATCCTCTCTCACAAAAAAAGTCAAAAAAGCCAAAAAGCCAAAAAGCCCTTCCCAAACCAGGCTAAAATAGCCCAGGCTAAAATAGCCAAAAAGTCAAAAAGCCAAAAAGCCAACCCACTTCCCAAACGGAGGCTTAGTTTAGTTTTTGATTATTTTAATGTGGTTAAAAAAAAAAGAAGTTTTTTTGATAAATCCACTTTCTAAGATTTTTATTTCATCTAACTCATATTCTTTTTGACTATTCCATTAGGTCCTATTTGAGATAAGAAGACCAAAATACCCTTTTCATCTACTTATGTTCCATTTAGTTCATATTATTTTCTTATGTTTCAATAAGTCCTATGGGTGACATAATTACCAAAATACCCCTAATGTGAATGTTCACACCGCCAATGTGAATGTTCATATCGTCAATGTGCAGGGGCCCGACCCATGTCGATCCTTGTGGGTGCCCGGAAAAGTTCGAGTCGGGCCGGGCAGACCCGGCCCATTGACAATGTGAATATTCACATTGACATGTTAACATTCATATTAATAGGAGTGAAAAATTGGCCCGCGTCCCGTGGCAGCGCGAAACCCGCCTACGGCCCATGGGCGTCCCGGGGCGGCCCGTTGACAATGTGAATATTCACATTGACATGTTAACATTCACATTGATAAGAGTATAAAATTGGCTCGTAGCCCATAGGCAGCCAAAAGCCTGCCCGCGGCCCAAGGCGGGCCCGGCCCATTGACAATGTGAATATTCACATTGACATGTTAACATTCACATTGATAGGAGTTTAAAATTAGCTCGCGCCTCGTGGCTGCCCGAAACCCGCCCACGGCCCGTGGGCGGCTCGGCCTGTTGATAATGTGAATATTCACATTGACATGTTAACATGCACATTGATAAGAGTATAAAATTGGCCTGGCCCGTTGACAATGTGAATATTCACATTGACATGTTAACATTCACATTAATAGGAGTATAAAATTGGCCCGCGTCTCGTGGCGGCGCCAAACCCGCCCACGGCCCATAGGCGGCCCGGGGCGGCCCGTTGACAATGTGAATATTTACATTGACATGTTACCATTCACATTGATAAGAGTATAAAATTGGCCCGCGGCCCATGGGCAGCCAAAAGCCCGCTCGCAGCCTCGGGCACGCTCGGCCCAGCCCGTTGACAATGTGAATATTCACATTGACATGTTAACATTCACATTGATAGGAGTTTAAAATTAGCTCGCGTCTTGGGGCCAGCCCGGCTCGGCCTGTTAACAATGTAAATATTCACATTGACATGTTAACATTCACATTGATAAGAGTGTAAAATTGGCCCGTACCCTGTGGGCGGTTCGAAACCCAACCGCAGCCCGAGGCGGGCTTGGCCCGACCCGTGATAATGTGAATATTCACATTGACATGTTAACATTAACATTGATAAGAATGTAAAATTTGCCCGCTACCCGAAACTTGCCCGTGGCCCGGGGTAGGCCCGGCCCGGCCCGTTCACAATGTAAATATTCACATTGACATGTTAACATGCACATTGATAGGAATATAGAATTGGCCCGCGGCCCGCGGGCTGCCCGAAGCCCGTCCACGGCCCGGGGCAGGCTCGTTTGGGTCCGGACCCGAGCATGTCCGAGACCCTAGGCTAGGGCCTAGGCCATCACTTTGAAGCCCGGCCCGGCCCATCAGCCCACTTAAGGTCCATTCAAGGCTCGGTCCAAGGCCCAGCCTGCCGGAGGCGCAATGTCTTTTTTTATGGCAACCAATTTTATACTCTTATCAATGTGAATGTTAACATGTCAATGTGAATATTTACATTGTTAACAGGCTGGGCCGAGCCCGCCCGCGAGCTGTCCGCGGGCCGTGGGCGGGTTTCGGTTAGCCACGGGGCATGGGCTAATTTTACACTCCTATCAATGTGAATGTTAACATGTCAATGTGAATATTCACATTGTCAACGTGCCGGGCCGCGGTCGAGCTTTTGGCCGCCCATAGGCCGCGGGCCAATTTTATACTCTTATTAATGTGAATGTTAACATGTCAATGTGAATATTCACATTGTCAACGGGCCGGGCCAGGCCCGCCCTGAGCCGCCCATGGGCCGCGGGTGG